AGAAGGTGAAGGGAGGGGAGGGGATCACAGAGACAAGGAAATGGAAGAATTTTACCATAAAACATTTTCTGAGGGGGAAAAAAATCCATAAACCATTCCTCTAACGATGGTGACTGTAGAGAAAGGGTGTGAAAGTTATTTTTCACATGGTACTTAGTCTCACTTGAGTGTTTCATCATGCTTACAAAGTACAGTTATTGGGAGCCCCTGAAGCTAAAATTGATCATATGTGGGAGGGCAGGAGTCGCTAGGCAACCTTGAGTCTTGAAACTTTGTAAAAGTATAAATAAAGGCCCTTTTGGTACAATGGATCACATTGAGAGACCAACAGATCCTTACATAGTGGTACCTCGGTTCACAACCTTAGTATGTTTTATGATTTAAGGGAAGATGGCCATGGTTATATTTATCACACAATGTGGAGTATATGAACAGAAGTAAAATTCAGTCAAATGCTTGTGTTTGAGAACCAAACTATGAACATATGTTTTTGGGAACTGAGGTATTACTGTAATTTTAATTAAAGTGTTCAGGTTGGAAGTGTAGCTCAGTGGTACTTGTCTAGTATGCACAAGGCCCTGAGTTAGATCTCTAGCACTAAGAAGACAAAGATGATGTTTTAACGTCACCTGCTCAGAAAGGATTTCTCTGGCATCCAAGGTCCATACACTCCTCCCTATTGTTCTTTCCTAGTGCTATTCTTCTCCTTCACAGTATTTACTCCCAGTGCATTCTTTTCGATTACTGTGCATTCACAGGGGAGATAGGCATAACACTTAATGCCTATCTCCCCTGTGGGGCTACAGGCTCTCAGGTGGCACCATGCTGACTTGTATTCCTGTCACCTAGTACTAGTAGTGGTGAATAAATATCTGCTAAGTGAATGAACAGATCCTATTCCTATGTTAACTCTGCTAAGTGAAGTGAAGCTCTACCTGCCTCCCTCTAGTTTAGAAGTGGCCCTTCTTCCTAGGAGGGGGGGCCTCTCCTGTGGACCTGGCACCATCAGCATCTGTATCTGCCTCCCCTTAAGACTGCTTATCACCAGGGCAAAGACTGTACTGCCCACTACAGTGTTTGCACACAAAAGCTACTTGATAAACAGCTGGTGAATGACCAACAAATACATAAAACACCAGCAGAGTAAATCAGCTGTCACTGCTGTCTCATTCTTCTCAATCATCTTGTCCTTTAGGAGAGCAAGAACAGACTGTGGGAGTGGTTCTAAAAGAAGTGTTCTATAAACTCAGAGCCGTGCCGGTCACCTGGAACTCAGACTGGACGTGGAGAGGCAGGAGGTGACTGTGGGCCAGTGCAGGGCCAAGTGGGGCTGCGGAGAGGAAATGAGCACTCACTCTGCACAACTCTTCTTAAATTCACGGTATGATCATAAGACAGATTAGTACAGTTTAAAAGCAAAAGAAATTGGATTTTCCTATTTTGCAAGAAAAAAAATGGGGGGGGGAATTACTCCAGGGTACAGTAGTGCATTCCTGTAACCCCAGTACTCAAGAGGCTGAGGCAGGACGATTACTGTTGAATTCTAGGCCAGCCAGGGCTACATAATGAGTTCAGGGCCAGCCTGAACCACATAGTGAGATCCTAGCTCAAAAATCCAAGGGGCCGGAGAGATGGTTCTGTGGAATAAGCGCTTCCCTGGCAAGCGCAAGGGCCTGAATTCAATCCCCGGTTCTGAAAAAAAAAAAAAAGTCTTACATACCTTTGGGGCCAGGGAGATGGCTCAGTGGAATAAGCGCTTCCCTGGCAAGACCCAAGGACTTGAGTACAATCCCCGGTTCAATACAAAAAAAAAAAAAAAAAAAAAATCCAAAAACTAAAACTAAAACTAAAAATGAAATTGCTTTGCATCAATGTTAGATTTCTGAAACTGATGACTACTGAGATAACAGAAGAAAATATCTTAAAGGATTCAGATGTGGGAGGTAGGATGTCTGCTATTCTCAAATGGTTCCATAAAATAAATTATAATGCCATATACTATATGTGTCAGATAAGCTAATACAGCAAAGTGTTAACAACTGACAAATCAAGGGCCGGCCAAATAGCTCAGGGGATTAAAGCGCCTGTAAGCGGGCGCAGGAGCCAGGGGTTTGATCTCCACACCTGCCGTGCAGGCCCCGTGCCCAGGGTACACGGAGATGGTGACTGAGACTGGGCGTCGTAGCAGGTGCCTATAATCCCAGCTCTTGGGAGGATGTAAACAGGTAGATCACTATAAATCTGATCTAGTAGTGAGACCCTGAACACCCTCTAGAGTTTTCCCTAAAATAAAAAAAAATAAAAAAAAATAAAAATCAGGCAGGACAACATGTCACAGGTGAGAAAATGAAGGTTCAGGAAGGAATAAACATCCACAATTCCTCAGAGATTAAATGGTAAAATGGGGACCCAGTCACTCTAGCTTACTCTGCAGGTACCAGGCATGGTTAGATGGGCAGCATCCACTCCACCTTTCCATTGCCATCTGCCCTGTGCCTTTCTTCTGCCTACCACTCCCTGGTCCCCTAATCCTGCCTGATTTTTTTTTTTTTAAACGTTTTGTTTTCAGATCACCATACATCCGTACACAGACATAAGAAGAGTTCCCATATACTCTTTTTTTTTTTAATTAACACATTGCATACATTCTTCCTAGTGGTTAATTGCTGTACAAGATGCGGACATGATATCCTATTTACAAATATTATTAGAACAAACTCCTCTATTCATTAAGAGAATGTAACTATGCACCTATCCTAACCATTTTGAATACACAGATATAAAATGGACATTCATCAGTATCCCTTTGTTTAGTTCTGTCCCATACACTCTTAATTCAATTTCCCCCAAAGATGTATCTTACATAACTAGACCACCTGTATTACTTTTGTTCTTCCTAGCATTTCCCACTTTCCAACATACTACAAACACACTTTTATAGTTTATTGTTTACATCCACTAAAAACTCCTCAAAGGCAGAAATCTTTATCCACTTTTTGTTCACTGCTATACTCCAAATGCAATCCATAGTAGCACCCACTAAGTATTTGCTAAATGACTCAAAGAACTGTAATGCCCTGCCTCCTTCAACAGGAAGATCAGCCCTCAAGAACCTAATCTGGTAAATAAGGACCCTGAAACACAAGGAAACATTGCACTCACCCATGGTGACATAAGGTAACTTATCAGTTGATCCATGAGGATAGATGCTGTAGAGGTGAGGTCCGGTAACATCTATTCCTCCTAAAACTAGGGCCGCACCAATGTAACCTTGATACCTGGTGATCAGAGAGTGCATAAGAGAAAAATGTGAGTGTACACACAGGATCACCGTAAGTTAACCAAAAACTGCACAAGAAGCAAAACAACAAAAGACTTACTATTTCATTAAGGGGTTATTGTTTTTTAGGAACTAAAGGGGGAAGGCAAGTAATATTAAAAGGGACATCTACAATGGTTTCAAGAGTACCATTTACAACGGACATGAGCACCACAATAATAAAACATAAATTGGTGAAGGCCCCCCACATACCTCATTTCAGCTCATCATCATTCCTGCTAGGGAAAGGAACTATGTAGAAACATTAAGCAGTTGCTTGTGTCTCAGAGCCAAGGCTGGCTTACTCCAAAAATCATCAGCACCTTGCTCATCACACCTCTCTGTGACCAGTGGAAGAGTGAGCTCAGGTTAATAATCAGGAGCTGCGAAGCTCAGCCACTCAGCTGTTCTAAGAACAAACTTCATCACAGTCTTGACAGGAAAGAAGATTCTGTCTAAACACCTTCTCCTTTGAGTACTTTCACTAAATTATAGTCATAGAGAGGAGCTTACATGGAGCAAAGGTGGAATATTTCATCACTCAGGACATGAGTACCATGATAATAAAACAAATGCTACCACCCAGTGGATAGAGGTTTACGTCTCCAGAAACATCGACACAATACATCTTTCATCCCACCTCAGAGTAGATGCGCATGTACTTGTTCCTCTGGACTCTCTCCCTGCTTAGTTTACTCCTTCTATGTATTACTTTCATATAGCTGGTCCTGTTTTTCACTACCAGAATTGCTATGACAGATAAACAATGGATACAACATTTTCCACCGTGAATTTTTAGCTCTTTCAGAAACATGAATCCAACCTGCCATGTGATAGAATCACAAATACTGAAGCCAATAAACACAAAAGACCAAAATCATAATTTCAGGCTGTCTGAGAAACAGGTACACATCAAGGAACTTTCTCAGTAAACAGTTAAGTTCAAGAGCTCCCTGGTTCCTTGATTACCAAATGAAAGAATTTTCATTTTTAAGTGAAAAAAATCAAGAACAAGAAAGGATTTTAGAAGCAATCTAGGGAAGAATCAAAGGTTCAAAGAGAGGAAGTATGTAACTGGTCTAAAGCCAATCTAAGGGTCAAGACTGGAGACCAGGACCCTGGAAGAAGTCAGAATGTCCAAGCTCACTGCCTCCAACCAGTTCAGCAACCTCTGCCACTGCCTTCAGTGCAGCATGTCGAATAAAGTCAATAATCAGCCATTTCCCTTTCATAATAAAATATAACCTGTTGGATGCTTTTAAAAGAATCTTAGCATACTTTAATCAATGACTAAAATCATGAAAAATGGACCAAAAGCACTGGGGTTATACAGTTCAAAGGCAGAACAACTGCCTGGTATGTGCAAAGCCCTGGAGTCAGTCTCAAGAAACAAGCCTAAAGATATAATCAAGCAAATTTACAGAAAATAATGCAAAGATATTTACCACAGCATGGTTTATGGTGGCAAAAAACTAGAAACAGATGGCTAGAGCTACACTACACAATACTACATAGTTATTGATAATCATGCTACCACCCTCATCCTGATCAAGAGCAGTACAACGGAGTACAACTTCTTCACAGTTCTAACTAAGTGTACCAACATGTTAGATGCAGCCAAGTGCACATAACTCTAATCCCTGCTACTGAGGAGGCTAAGGCAACAGGATTCCAAGTCCAGGTGAGCCTAGACAATCTAGTAAAACCCTGTCTCAAAATAAATTAAATTTAAAAACAGCTGAGAGGCCTTTCGGGTCCTCTTTTCCAAGATGACGAAAAAAAGAAGGAACAACGGTCGTGCCAAAAAGGGCCGCGGTCATGTGCAGCCTATTCGCTGCACGAACTGCGCCCGGCGCGTACCCAAGGATAAGGCTATTAAGAAGTCTGTCATTCGGAACATAGTGGAGGCCGCCGCCGTCAGGGACATTTCCGAAGCGAGCGTCTTCGACGGTTATGTGCTTCCCAAGCTGTATGTGAAGCTGCATTATTGTGTGAGTTGTGCCAGTCACAGCAAAGTGGTCAGAAATCGATCTCGTGAAGCCCGTAAGGACCGAACTCCTCCCCCCCGATTTAGACCTGCTGGTGCTGCCCCACGACCTCCACCAAAGCCCATGTGAGGGGAGCTGAGTCTTAATGGACTGAAGAAAACTCTTGAGAAAGAAATAATAAAATTGAATGTTACACTTAAAAAAAAAAAAAAAAACAGCTGAGGGCCGTATCGTGGCACACATGTACAATCCCAGCATTTGGGAGGCTTCGGCAGGAGGATCACCATGAGTTCTAGGCCACCCTAGGTTACAAAGGAAGTTCAAGGACAGTGTGAACTGCATGGTGAGACCCTATCTCAGAGACAATCAATAAAATTAAATTAAAATACAATACAATAAAAATGAGCTGAAGATGTAGATCAGTGGCAAGCTCAATTCCCAGTACCAAAAGTTAAATGTGGTTACCTGAACTTTTTCTAGACCCAAGAATTTATTGTAGACTATAACTTAGTGAGTTAGAAAGAACAAGCACCCAAAGCTTCTATGACCCAAAAAGATTATAGGATATCTTATAATACCTTAAATATCTTTAAATGGCCAGTATCATAAAGTAGTTACATTGTAACATAGCCACAGAATATAATGATGTGATAGCACTAAACGCTGTTAAGAATGATCAATAGTTCTTACAAGCATATGGGTCACAGACCCCTCTGAAATACTGACTGCAATGCTGGGTTTCTCTCCCGTACGTTTTTCCTATTCTAGGAGGCTTTAGCCCTCCAGAACTCCTCTACTGGCTCAAGGAGAAATTCCTGGTTCTGATTACCTCTACTAGTGGGAACAATACACACAGTACCATTACATGAGGAGAGTAAAGTAGCAGAATATAATGGTGCGCCATTCTTGCTAATGCATAAATCTGAAACCAGAGGTATAGTACATCAGGTATGGAAAAGTATGTCATATGATGTCCGGGCCTATGCTAGACATTGTCATAGCTTTACGTACTCTCCTTCCCCTCAAAAGTCAAGAGACAGAATTTATTATATGCACTTAGAAAAAGAAACTGGTTCAGAATGGTGAGTTGAACTGGCAAGTCACATGGCTGGCAATGCTGTCGACAGGACTTAGAACCTAAGTGCTGAAGTCAAATTCTAGGCCTTTTTCCTTTATACCACTCTGATTCATTTATGTAACTCAACAAAAATATCCCGGGACATAAAGGACTACATCATCCTCATTAAATGTTCCTCTCAAAACCTTGATAACAGCCAGGCGTGGTGGCACACACCAGTAATCCCAGCACCCGGAGGCTGAGGCAAGAGGATCACCAGGAGTTTGAGACCAGCCTGAGCTACAAAGTGAGTTCAAGGACAGCCTGAACTGCACAGTGAAACCCTGTCTCAAAAAAAAAAAAAAAAAAACTGACAAAACTTAACTTTTACAAAGTATATTAAATTAAAGGATTAAATGCTGAATATAAGAAATTTTAGGGGCTGGGGAGATGGCTCAGTGGAATAAGCACTTCCCTGGCAAGAAATTTTAGACTTCCTAAAACTTCAAAAGGGGTTAATTAAAATATTTTGCTAAATTATTTTGTAAAATGCTTTAAACAACATTGCAAGGAATCTTACTATTTGTGGCAATTTTACACGTTTGAAAATTGCTTTATCCCAACTCTCAGGAGGCTGAGGCAGAAAGAGCACAAGTTTGAGAGCACCCTGGACCAGCCTGAACTGCATAGCAAGACCCTGCCTCAAAAATAAATAAATAAATAAATAAATAAATAAATAACTTTATATGTAATGTACAACTTAAGGCACAAGAGGGAGCTTTGTATTTAAAGTTAAAATTCAAAAATGTCTTCTGAAATTTTAGGCTGGAAGAACTGAAAAGGCTGATGGCTGTATATCTAAACAGCTTAGCAAACCCACGACAGAGCAGGACCCAGGCAGGCTAGGCTTTCAGAGGACTCTATGCTTTGGTTTTCTCAGCTATAAAATGGAGACTATGTACAGTACTATCAGCTGCATACACATTACTGAGAAGCCTGTGCTAGAGATGAAGACAGGGTCCTGCAAATTCTCAGGAAGGCAAGGGCCATATAAGAAATGCAAACTCAAGCAGGCAGGGACTGTGACAAACAGAACACATTCCCATTGAAGGTGACATCGATTCCTGTTCCAGGTTACAGCCATGGGTGATCTCATCTTTTTGAATGTTTCAAAGGAAGACAAAAATCTAGAACTTCATATTCTACTCTCCCAATTTATTGTTTACTACTAGTTTTTAAATGTCACATGACTTAAATAAACTCCACTAAGACCAATGGCCTATGAACTACCAGCTTACAATCTCTGCTTTCTACTTATGCTTGCCTTTAATTCTCACAACCACCCCGAAGCATGTATCATGGTGTCTACTTCACATGGAAAAAGCAAAGAATATGCTAAAAGTGAGGCAAATTCCAAAAAGAAGAGCCAAAGGAAGGAAGGGGAAGGGGAAGGGAGGGCGGGCCAGTTTTCAAACGCAAGACTAAATGTCCTGGCTGTTTCCACTACAACACACTGCCTCTCTTATGTAGTGTGAGAAAGTAGATTTAATTTTCAAAAACTGTCAAGACATATAAAAAGTAATACTGATATTCAAGGAAAAAAAAGACAAAACTACTCATATGAGGCCAAAGAGGACAGGGCGAGGACAGGGCAAGGTCAGGCCAGGCAAGTCTCTACACTGCTATATTGTAGCCTTCATTTGTTCACTTGAAAATAGGAGACAGAGGCTGGGGAGAGAGCTCAGGGGCCTAAGTGCCTGCCTGGCAAGCACAAGGTCTCAAGTTCAGATCCCCTGGCACACAAGAAAAGAGACAGGAGAGGGTAATAAATAGTGGATCTCAGAGATAATACATAGAACATTTTAGGGCCATGGAGATAGCTCAGCAGTCTAAGCGCCTGCTTAAGCAAGCACAAGGATCCGGATTCAATCCCCACCTCAGGCACACTGAGCTGACCACCAAAACTGGGTGTGGTGATGCACACCTGTAATCCCAGCGCTGGGGAGGCTGAAACAGGAGGATCACTACAAGTCCGAGCTGCACAGTGAGACCCTATACCAAATACATAAAAATTTTTAAAATAAAACATTTTAAAGCAAGGCCTGAAACTAGGAATTAAAAGTTGGTTAATTATCAATAACATTATACCCACTCACAAACAACTATGACTTTTTACTGCACTGGAGAGAAGAGAGTCGCCTTGTATCTGCGTATTGGGTGGTGGAAGGGTAATATTTTTAGGGCCAACTCAAAGGCTCCTTCTGCTTATAATTTCTTACCTTGAACAAAAAGTTTCTCTCATCCAATTGTTATGGTTTAGACTGTGAATAGCCCCCAGTACTTTGTGTATTTGGAAGGTGATCAGATTACGGGGCTTATACCTGACTTGCTATTAGTAGATGAGGTCACTGTGGGCATGACCCAGAAAGGCTTATCCTCCTCCCAGCATTCTCTGCTTCCTGATCACAAGAGCATTCATTCCTCTGCCACATCCCTGTGCCGCACCACGCCATCCTGCCTTAGAGCCAGCCAACTATGGACTGAAATGAGACAAAATCAACCTCTTCTCCCTTTAGATGTGGGTATTGTATCACAGCAACAAGAAAAGTGACTAAAACACTAGTATCCCTATGCTTTAGGAAATCATTCACATGTGATTTATTCTGGGAAGGAGAAAGAAATCAGACTATAAATTCAAATGCATTAACAAATGCCTGGGGCCAGGGAGATCACTCAGTACAATAAGTGTGTGCCTGGTAAGTGCAAGGGCCTGAGCTCAATCCCGGGTTCTGAAAAAAAAAAAAAAAAAAAAGCCTAATGAAATTAAAATGGCCTTTTGTACTCTTAGAGATGGGAAGATCACCATGAGTTCAAGACCAACATAAGCTACACAGTGAGTTCAAAGTCAGCCTGAACTACACTAAGAATTCACATAGTGAATGTCTCAAAAAAAAAAAGTGTTTAATAACAACTGACTTCTGGAATAAAACAGGTGCTTCTGAATGCTTTTTCCCTAGCTTCCAAGCTTCCTTTGGCCAAGAATCTAAGATACTAGAAAAAGATGCTATAGAAAAACCTGTCCTGGAACCATACCTGAAAAGCATCTGCTTCAGCATCCGATTGGCAGTCACAACTCTGGGAAGGCGCCCAGTGGTGAGGGAGTGGAGCTCCAAGTTGGAAGAGATGAGCTGGGTTGTCATGTCTGTGTCTGCAGCTGTCCCAGCACCACAACAG